TTCACATTTTAAAAATTAAAAACGAAAAATTCACATTTCAAGAATTGAACATGAAAAATTCACATTTCAAGAATTCGAGAGGAAAAGTTCACATTTTAAGAATGAAGACAAAAATTCCATTTCAAGAGTTACACAAGAAAAATTTACATCTTTAAACATTTTGAATTCCAAAACTATCCAATCCAATTCACAACTTCTGTTTGTCGGCCTCTTTTCCATCGAAATAGAAAAGATCACAGGACTCACCTCGTGAAGGTCAACAGAACGAGTCCCTCCAAATAAAAGACTAAAATGAGTCGTTTTCTTTTCTGGTCGCTCCTTCTTAAATCGATCAACTGTCGTTAAACAACTAGTTGCATCAAACAGAGTAGCCAAGTTTTATAAACTATGGCAAAAGCTGTTATCGGAACACATTCACCGGGTTACATTAAATGCCGTGATGCATCTTTCATTAAGGGTGTTGCAGACCTTGCCAGAAGCGCTACCATTTAGTCTACTCAACAAGAGGTCAACGAATTTCATCGCCACTGGCACTTTCCGTCCCCAACAAACTGATTCTCAAGCTGTAATTCCGAACGGCATGGCTATCAATCATGAATGTTGGGCTCTCGTTAAGGCTTTATTGGGCTTTTACTCTTGTTATGACAACTCGTTGGTTTGGATATTATTTGTTGTGAATGGATTGGACTAGGTCCAATTCTTCAGTAAAATAATAAGAGTAGTAAAAGCTGAAAAAAAATGATTAATAAATGGTTTAAGACAGACGGACATGAACAGACAGATTGACAGAAATTACTTTTTTGATGGACAGTCCCACCCTCATCCCCCTCTAAAGACTTTTCCAATAAGTTATAGTAAACCTGTTTATAGAGGATTAATGCCTCGTTCGCAAAAAAAAGCTTAAAAAACGAACGCGCACATTTAAATTAATTCGTCCATCTTTTTAAACAAATAAACCCTTACCCTACCTCAAGAACCTTACCCTTCCCCCATCCCCCTACCCCGCATACTATAATCCCTTCCCTTGGCGTCACTGGGGCGCCACTCCCAGATAGATTTGTTGAGGCTCTTCTCGCCGTTCCCACCCACCCTTTACCCCCTACTTCAAGAACCCCTACCCCACTTAGTTTGAACCCTCACACCCAACACCCTGCATCAAAAACCTTCCCCGCTACTTTAATCCCTCACACCCTTCACCCTTCATGAAAAACCTACCCCGCTTACTTTAATCCCTGACACCTTAAACCCCCTCCCATCCCTGCGAATTTAATTTCTTACCCCCTACCTTAAGAACCCCCCCACCCCGCTAATTTAATCCCTTCCCTTGGCGTCACTGGGGCGCCACTCCCAGATAGATTTGTTGAGGCTCTTCTCGCCGTTCCCACCCACCCTTTACCTCCTACTTCAAGAACCCCTACCCCACTTAGTTTGAACCCTCACACCCAACACCCTGCATCAAAAACCTTCCCCGCTACTTTAATCCCTCACACCCATCACCCTCCATGAAAAACCTACCCCGCTTACTTTAATCCCTGACACCTTACACCCCCTTCCATCCCTGCGAATTTAATTTCTTACCCCCTACCTTAAGAGCCCCCCCACCCCGCTAATTTAATACCTTCCCTTGGCGTCACTGGGGCGCCACTCCCAGATAGATTTGTTGAGGCTCTTCTCGCCGTTCCCACCCACCCTTTACCCCCTACTTTAAGAACCCCTACCCCACTTAATTTGAACCCTCACACCCAACACCCTGCATCAAAAACCTTCCCGCTACTTTAATCCCTCACACCCTTCACCCTCCATGAAAAACCTACCCCGCTTACTTTAATCCCTGACACCTTACACCCCCTTCCATCCCTGCGAATTTAATTTCTTACCCCCTACCTTAAGAACCCCCCCACCCCGCTAATTTAATACCTTCCCTTGGCGTCACTGGGGCGCCACTCCCAGATAGATTTGTTGAGGCTCTTCTCGCCGTTCCCACCCACCTTTTACCCTACACCCCCTCCCATCCCTGCGAATTTAATCCCTTACCCCCCTACCTTTTCACTCAACTTTTAAAGGAAACCCTTCCGCTTCGTCGTCCTCAGGAACTCCGCAACAGAACATTCGTTTGAACGTTCTCCATAACCCCTTCTTCTTTTTGGGGTTCTCGTTGACTTCGGCTTGCATGCTCTTGGTTTCTTCAGCAAATGTTGATGTTTCAGATGACTCCGGATACGAATAGATTGATGTAATCGTTGCAGCATCATCGTCCTGAAATAAAAAATTCATTTTATTAAAATAAAGTGCCAAGAATCTAAATTCAAAATTCCAGTTATTTGGATATTCTGATTCCTTATAACACTACATTCATCTGATAAGTGTAAACTTACCAAGTAATGTAAATGTGATGCCACAAATCTATTCATTTCCGATGCCAGCGACTGATGATGGAACATGAAAATGCTGACTTCTCTCTGTAGGTAGATGTTATTGTAATTTTCATGATACAACACGAAAAAATCCTCCAACTCCAATAACATCTCCAAACCAGCATCCTCGAACCACTCCACAAGAAACCAGAAAAAAGCAAACAACTCATCTTGCTTGGCCAAAAAGTTTCTCATGTCTCGCAACACAAGAAACTTAATGAACACAAGATGAAGTTCAGGATGCTGTTTTATGAAATTTCTTCTTGAAAGTCGCAATCGTCCACTATCAACATTATGCATGCGCAAGAATCCTCTTATTCCTCTTTTTATTGATGAATCTTCTTTCGATGCTTGCTTCATGAGATCATGAGGCAAGTTTCCCAAAGAAGGCTTCTCAAACATAAACTGAAATTAAAAATTAAAATCATTTTAGAGTTTTTCTTAAATTAAAAATATCTAATATATAAAAGCCCAATTCACTGATTCACTGACTCTGGAACGGAAGCCATGTGAAGACGTTTGTGAAGCCGTGTGAAGACAAAAATTTAAGGAGTGTTCACAAGGTGCTTGTAAGGTGAGTGTGGGGTGGGTGTCAAGTGGGGGGGGGGGGGGTGTCAGGTGGGGATTGGGGGCAAGGGGGTGTCAGGATGAGATTGGGAGCAAGGGGGGTGTCAGGTATATTTTGCGAAGCCAATGATTCGAGGGGTGCTGACAAGGTGGGTGTCAGTTGTGGGGGGTGACAAAGTGGGTGTCAGGTGGGGATGGAGGCAAGGGGGGTGTCAGTTGGGGGGGGGGGGGGTCCGAATTTGAGGGGGTTTGTGGGAAAAGTTTGCTGTCAGGAATATTTTGTGAAGCCATATAAAATTTTGTGAAGCCATGTGAAGTTTTGTGAAGCCATGAAAAGACATGGTGAGTTTCGGGGGAATTAAAGTTTTAGTGGGATTAAGGGGGTCCGAGTTTGAGGGGGTTTGTGAATACATTTATAAAATTTTTGTGGGATTGAGTCCGAGTTTGAGGAGGTTTGTGAGGCCATGTGAAGTTTTGTGGTAGGATTGACCTTAAAAACATTATGGTTATTTGCGTCTTACAGTTATTTACATAATAGTAATCAAATTTTAACCCTGATAAGAGGTGCCACAGGTGCCTCCGGACAGCCTAGTTATTATATAATTACTCACCTTTAAGAGGTTCCTTTTCTCGCCAATAGCTCTTTCGATCTGCAACAATTCCTCCGACATGGATTGAAAGGTCCTGTACAAAGGAATCATTGTCGGCATGCTGAATGATCGAAGGAGACGTGGATTTTCGGTTCCAGCATTTATCATTGGCATGCTGTACGTTCTCAGGAGCTCGGGAACCGGTTGCTAAAATAAATAAATGGAAAAAAAATTTTTAAAATTTATTCACAATTTAAAATGAATCATCGAAGGATGATGAATATCAACTGCTTGCTTGCATGATTAGTATTATTTCCATGCAAGAAGCATCATGTCTAGTTGGCACTTCCAACTGGGTGGAAGTGACAAACAAATTTTACTTCATTTCTTGACTTTTCAAACGATTTTAAAGATGAGTCCAGTTCTGAGGAACTAAGCAGTTCCGTAGGTTCCAATGCAGCCAGTACGCATCGTATGACTACTTAGAACCGAAAAATTTCATTGGATAATGAAAGAAGTGCTTAGTTCCTTAAATCTGGACCCCTCTCAAAAATCGTTAAAAAAGTCAAGAAATGTTGAAAAAACATTTTTGTCAGTTTCATCCAGTTGGAAGTACCAACTTGACATGATGCTTCTTGAATGAAAATCATACAAACCATGCAGCAATTAAACTGAGTCCTTTTGTTTTTGAATCATCGAAATCCTATCCTTACTTCTATCTCCACATTGGCTATTTCGTTGTTGCTTGCTTTATTCTCAAGCTGATGATCTTCATCCTCTAAAAGCTGAATGAACCGCTGAACAGTTTTGCGAAAATTTGACGTTGACATGTTGAACTAATCTTCACTTCTAATGTTTACACAATACTGAAGAAATTTCAGAATTGGTCAAATTTCAATGGTTGCTGGGATAATTATTCTTTTGTATACTGAATTATTATCATTTTGTATGAAAATTAAAATGATATTTTGTGACATCAAAACTATCGGGAAATCGCTGAATCTGGTGCAGGAACATATCCAGTGTTACAAAATAAGTGATCGGTTCCGTTGAGTTTGAAACAAAGATAAAAAAATGTTTATCAAATAATAATTTCCTTCAAATTTAAGTTATTATTGAGCAATAAGTGATAGTGAAAATGTGGAAGAAGGCACGTTCACTACGTCTATTTCCTAAATGACTGTTTTATACTCTCATGGATTTCACTATTAATTCTTCAAAGAAAAAACTTTATTTAAATAAATTTGATGTCTAAAATGCAATTTAGAAAATCAATTAAGTACAAAATGGTCAAAAAATACAAAAAGTTTTAGCTGAAAAGTTTCATTAAAAATGTTTGATAAAAAACAACAAACTAATTTATAGGCACATATTTAGGCATTCACTCGTTTTCTTCTTCTAAGTCTTCATTTTGAGGCTGTTGAAAGACATCTGGCATCATATCATTCGCATCATCTTTCTTTTCTTGAATTAATTTCATATCTTCTGCTGTCTTTAGGCATAATTTGGCTTCTTCAATTGCCTTTGATCTTTTCTCGTCGTTAAGCTGAGTGACACCCATTAAAAGCTGCAAAACATCAGTATCGAATATTTTCTCAGCAACTGTTTTACTCTGTCGAATCATGTTGTGAATTATGACAATTCCTCTAAACTGTACATCAGGGCTTGGATTCGCTATTAACGTATGCAAAATTTCAAGCCATGACGATGGAGTTATCATTTTCTCACAACATTTTGCACTATTAGATGTCAGAATTGCTAATGCACCACTACATGCTAAAGCTGTTTCTTCATCTTCCTCCTCGCACAACAGTGCTAAGAATTTTACGCGATCATTGTCTCCTTCATGCCATTTTATATAATCCTCATTCAAAACCATGTTGCAAATTACTTGTGTGGCAGCTCTAGTCAACAAAATGTGATCTTCCATTAAGAACATTTCAATACGTGACATTCCTTTCTCTTTCATTATGCGATTGCGAACTGAATCATTCATTTGAGCTAAATTACAAAGTGCCAAAAGTGCTTCAAAATTCTCGAGTGCACTATAGTCTGGATGAAGTTGATTAAGTAATGGTCTAACAACTTCTAATGATCGTTGTCCAGGAAATGCTTGTTCGGGATTGATAGTGATACCTAAACGTGACAAAGCCTGACCAGCATTTCGTTTGCCCTTTTCAGTACCTAAAGTAATTGAAAAAAAAAACAGAATTTAAAATAAATCAATAAAAATGCAGTAATAAAGTTTGAAATTCTTACCTTTTAATGCAAGCTGAATTAAGACACGAGCACCACCTTGTTGAACAATCTTTCCCCTAACACTAGTTTCGGAGCAAATTGCATTAAAAACTCTCGCAATCATTTCTTTGGCATTGTCACTCTCAGTTTTTGATAGAGCAACTAAGGCGACAGTAATACCTTCTTCTGCCAATGTATTAATACGTTTGGCTACAAAATCTGGATCATCGAGTTCTGATTCTTCTGGAACATGATGTTTTGCGAATTTAGCAAGTTCCATAAGTTCAGGAAGCATTTCCTGCTTTTCATAAGCATTGACAAGATTAACAAGTGTAGTAACAACACCATAAATGACAGATTGATCTCCAGTTTTAGCTAGTTCAATGAGTGCTTGAATAGCCAATTTATCATCAATTAATTTCTCTTTAACATCAGCATCAAGTGTAAGGAATGACAATCCTTCAGCTGCAAATTTACGAATATCCTTATCTTTACCAGGTTTAATGAGAAAACGACGACATGCTTCAGCTAGTTTAACAGTTGATCCTTCAGCAAATGGACGAATAGATGCATCAAGGCCACCAGAGCTACCTAATTTACATAATCCAACTAGTGCTCTTACTCGAATTCCTTCATCTTTTGAATGATATAATTTCTTTAAAATTTCCACCCCACTTGTTATTAATGCTTTAGCCTTATCCTTCTTTGATGCTGCAGCAATAAGACATTCAGAAGCTACTTTTTGATGTAACAATTCATCATCACTTGCCATTGCTAAAATCATTTGCATGATTCCATCACGTGCGAAAATTGTATTACCAACATCTAATGGACCAAGAAGAAGTGATGTTAAAGCGACTACAACACGAACTTTTGATTCAAATTCTGGATTTAAAAGCTTATCCCTTATATATTCATCAATGTGAGCAATGAATCGTTGTCGAGCTTCATCATAGTACATGTTTTCATAAATTCTTGCTAAACAAACGGAAGCGATGGTTCTAGACGATGGTGTTATTGGCATTGCACTCTCATATTTATATTCCTCTAATTCACTACAAATTTCCATCAAACGATAAAGACCCTTTTTCTCGATAAGACGTTCAGCCCAATTAAGTGTTTGATAATGAGCATTTCTGATCAATAATTCTACAACAGCATCACGAGCTTCGCCAGTAATTGTACGATCTGTTGTTGCATAAATCAAGCATGTAAGAATTGTATCAATTTCATTCTTATTATCTTCAACTAATTGTTGATCTGGCTTTGAATCCTCTTTATTAGTTAAGCCAGAGAATGAATTAAGAATGACTTGTAAGCAATGCTGAGCTGACATGACACGATCAGGATTTTTACTATCAAGAATTTGTAGGAGTCAAGGGATACCAAGTTCATTAATGATCTTCTTTGTGTAATGTAATGACTTGATACAGATATCATCAATTACACGTATAGCATTAACAAGTATTTCATCATTTTTTCGACTTTGAATAATTAACCGACACAAGTAGCTATATTCTCAAAGAACATTACATCGGCTCCTGCCTTTTCTCTAGCTAACACTACAAGATTACTCATTGCAGTCTCTTTTTTGCTTCTCTCGGCACCAATATCAAATGCTAATTCCATCATTTTCGATACCTTTGTGGATGTTTGAGCATTTATAGCTGCAGGATCCTGAGATAAGGCTGAATTGGTTTAAAGTTTGGATCATTCTTGCAAATTGTTCGATTTTCAGCCACAAAAGATATTAAGCATGCAAAAGTCTTTTAAATAATTAAAATTGTGCTTTTAATGTTTCTTTATGAGAATCAATTTTTTTTGGTAAAATATATATTTATTATAAATTTGACAATTTTTCAATCTCATCATTAATGTTCGTGCTTCTGTCATAGCTCAAAACTTCAGTGTAGATAGAGAAAAATCCTTCAAGCTTTTGCGAGTTTTCCGTTTGGTTTTCTTTAACAAAGGAGCAAATCTTTTGTGAAACCTGTTGAATAGAAAACTCATTTTATAAAAGCTAGTTATGATGTCCGAAATTAACGGTCATTTTTCAAAAAAGATCAATGGATTTCCAGGAATTTCTATTGTTCTTTTCTTGCTCTAAATTCAAAATATTTTCATAACGAAAGATGAAATTAAACCAATTGATTTAAAATCCAATGATGAAGAAGTTTGGCAAATAAGTTCATGTTCGCAAATAATCCATATTCCAAAAATTGAAACACGAAAAATCGTATTCCAATTGAAAAATTCACGTTTCAAAAATAGAAGACGAAAAATTCAGGTTTCAAAAATTGAAGACAAAAAATTCACATTTCAAGAATTCAAGACAAAAAATTCACATTTCAAAAATTGAACACGAAAAATTCAAGAAGAAAAATTCACATTTCAAGAATTAAACATGAAAAAATTTACATTTCAAGAATTCAAGATGAAAAATTCAAATTTCAAAAAATTGAACATGAAAAATAAAGACGAAAAATTCACATTTCAAGAATTCAAGATGAAAAATTCACCTTTCAAAAAATTGAACATGAAAAATTCACATTTCAAAAAATTGAACATAAAAAAATTCACGTTTCAAAAATAGAAGACGAAAAATTCAGGTTTCAAAAATTGAAGAAAAAAATTCACATTTCAAGAATTCAAGACAAAAAATTCACATTTCAAGAATTGAACATGAAAAATTCACATTTCAAAAAATTGAACATGTAAAATTCACATTTTAAAAATTAAAGACGAAAAATTCACATTTCAAGAATTAAACATGAAAAAATTTACATTTCAAGATTTCAAGATGAAAAATTCAAATTTCAAAAAATTGAACATGAAAAATTCACATTTTAAAAATTAAAGACGAAAAATTCACATTACAAGAATTGAACATGAAAAATTCACATTTCAAGAATTCAAGATGAAAAATTCACATTTCAAAAAATTGAACATAAAAAATTCACATTTTAAAAAATAGAAGACGAAAAATTCACATTTCAAAAAATTGAACATAAAAAATTGACGTTTCAAAAATAGAACATGAAAAATTCACATTTCAAGAATTCAAGACAAAAAATTCACATTTCAAGAATTGAACATGAAAAATTCACATTTCAAAAATTAAAGACGAAAAATTCACATTTCAAGAATTGAACATGAAAAATTCACATTTTAAGAATTCAAGATGAAAAATTCACATTTCAAAAAATTGAACATAAAAAATTCACATTTTAAAAAATAGACGACGAAAAATTCACATTTCAAAAATTGAACATAAAAAATTCACGTTTCAAAAATAGAAGACGAAAAATTCAGGTTTCAAAAATTGAAGACAAAAAATTCACGTTTCAAGAATTCAAGACAAAAAATTCACATTTCAAAAATTGAACACGAAAAATTCAAGAAGAAAAATTCACATTTCAAGAATTAAACATGAAAAAATTTACATTTCAAGAATTCAAGATGAAAAATTCAAATTTCAAAAAATTGAACATGAAAAATAAAGACGAAAAATTCACATTTCAAGAATTGAACATGAAAAATTCACATTTCAAGAATTCAAGATGAAAAATTCACCTTTCAAAAAATTGAACATAAAAAAATTCACGTTTCAAAAATAGAAGACGAAAAATTCAGGTTTCAAAAATTGAAGAAAAAAATTCACATTTCAAGAATTCAAGACAAAAAATTCACATTTCAAGAATTGAACATGAAAAATTCACATTTCAAAAAATTGAACATGTAAAATTCACATTTTAAAAATTAAAGACGAAAAATTCACATTTCAAGAATTAAACATGAAAAAATTTACATTTCAAGATTTCAAGATGAAAAATTCAAATTTCAAAAAATTGAACATGAAAAATTCACATTTTAAAAATTAAAGACGAAAAATTCACATTACAAGAATTGAACATGAAAAATTCACATTTCAAGAATTCAAGATGAAAAATTCACATTTCAAAAAATTGAACATAAAAAATTCACATTTTAAAAAATAGAAGACGAAAAATTCACATTTCAAAAAATTGAACATGTAAAATTCACATTTTAAAAATTAAAGACGAAAAATTCACATTTCAAGAATTAAACATGAAAAAATTTACATTTCAAGATTTCAAGATGAAAAATTCAAATTTCAAAAAATTGAACATGAAAAATTCACATTTTAAAAATTAAAGACGAAAAATTCACATTACAAGAATTGAACATGAAAAATTCACATTTCAAGAATTCAAGATGAAAAATTCACATTTCAAAAAATTGAACATAAAAAATTCACATTTTAAAAAATAGAAGACGAAAAATTCACATTTCAAAAAATTGAACATAAAAAATTGACGTTTCAAAAATAGAACATGAAAAATTCACATTTCAAGAATTCAAGACAAAAAATTCACATTTCAAGAATTGAACATGAAAAATTCACATTTCAAAAATTAAAGACGAAAAATTCACATTTCAAGAATTGAACATGAAAAATTCACATTTTAAGAATTCAAGATGAAAAATTCACATTTCACAAAATTGAACATAAAAAATTCACATTTTAAAAAATAGACGACGAAAAATTCACATTTCAAAAATTGAACATAAAAAATTCACGTTTCAAAAATAGAAGACGAAAAATTCAGGTTTCAAAAATTGAAGACAAAAAATTCACGTTTCAAGAATTCAAGACAAAAAATTCACATTTCAAAAATTGAACACGAAAAATTCAAGAAGAAAAATTCACATTTCAAGAATTAAACATGAAAAAATTTACATTTCAAGAATTCAAGATGAAAAATTCAAATTTCAAAAAATTGAACATGAAAAATAAAGACGAAAAATTCACATTTCAAGAATTGAACATGAAAAATTCACATTTCAAGAATTCAAGATGAAAAATTCACCTTTCAAAAAATTGAACATGAAAAATTCACATTTCAAAAAATTGAACATAAAAAAATTCACGTTTCAAAAATAGAAGACGAAAAATTCAGGTTTCAAAAATTGAAGAAAAAAATTCACATTTCAAGAATTCAAGACAAAAAATTCACATTTCAAGAATTGAACATGAAAAATTCACATTTCAAAAAATTGAACATGTAAAATTCACATTTTAAAAATTAAAGACGAAAAATTCACATTTCAAGAATTAAACATGAAAAAATTTACATTTCAAGATTTCAAGATGAAAAATTCAAATTTCAAAAAATTGAACATGAAAAATTCACATTTTAAAAATTAAAGACGAAAAATTCACATTACAAGAATTGAACATGAAAAATTCACATTTCAAGAATTCAAGATGAAAAATTCACATTTCAAAAAATTGAACATAAAAAATTCACATTTTAAAAAATAGAAGACGAAAAATTCACATTTCAAAAAATTGAACATAAAAAATTGACGTTTCAAAAATAGAACATGAAAAATTCACATTTCAAGAATTCAAGACAAAAAATTCACATTTCAAGAATTGAACATGAAAAATTCACATTTCAAAAATTAAAGACGAAAAATTCACATTTCAAGAATTGAACATGAAAAATTCACATTTTAAGAATTCAAGATGAAAAATTCACATTTCAAAAAATTGAACATAAAAAATTCACATTTTAAAAAATAGAAGACGAAAAATTCACATTTCAAAAATTGAACATAAAAAGTTCACGTTTCAAAAATAGAAGACGAAAAATTCAGGTTTCAAAAATTGAAGACAAAAAATTCACATTTCAAGAATTCAAGACAAAAAATTCACATTTCAAAAATTGAACACGAAAAATTCAAGAAGAAAAATTCACATTTCAAGAATTAAACATGAAAAAATTTACATTTCAAGAATTCAAGATGAAAAATTCAAATTTCAAAAAATTGAACATGAAAAATAAAGACGAAAAATTCACATTTCAAGAATTGAACATGAAAAATTCACATTTCAAGAATTCAAGATGAAAAATTCACCTTTCAAAAAATTGAACATGAAAAATTCACATTTCAAAAAATTGAACATAAAAAAATTCACGTTTCAAAAATAGAAGACGAAAAATTCAGGTTTCAAAAATTGAAGAAAAAAATTCACATTTCAAGAATTCAAGACAAAAAATTCACATTTCAAGATTTCAAGATGAAAAATTCAAATTTCAAAAAATTGAACATGAAAAATTCACATTTTAAAAATTAAAGACGAAAAATTCACATTACAAGAATTGAACATGAAAAATTCACATTTCAAGAATTCAAGACAAAAAATTCACATTTCAAGAATTGAACATGAAAAATTCACATTTCAAAAAATTGAACATGTAAAATTCACATTTTAAAAATTAAAGACGAAAAATTCACATTTCAAGAATTGAACATGAAAAATTCACATTTCAAGAATTCAAGATGAAAAATTCACCTTTCAAAAAATTGAACATGAAAAATTCAAGAAGAAAAATTCACATTTCAAGAATTAAACATGAAAAAATTTACATTTCAAGAATTCAAGATGAAAAATTCAAATTTCAAAAAATTGAACATGAAAAATAAAGACGAAAAATTCACATTTCAAGAATTGAACATGAAAAATTCACATTTCAAGAATTCAAGATGAAAAATTCACCTTTCAAAAAATTGAACATGAAAAATTCACATTTCAAAAAATTGAACATAAAAAAATTCACGTTTCAAAAATAGAAGACGAAAAATTCAGGTTTCAAAAATTGAAGAAAAAAATTCACATTTCAAGAATTCAAGACGAAAAATTCACATTTCAAGATTTCAAGATGAAAAATTCAAATTTCAAAAAATTGAACATGAAAAATTCACATTTTAAAAATTAAAGACGAAAAATTCACATTACAAGAATTGAACATGAAAAATTCACATTTCAAGAATTCAAGACAAAAAATTCACATTTCAAGAATTGAACATGAAAAATTCACATTTCAAAAAATTGAACATGTAAAATTCACATTTTAAAAATTAAAGACGAAAAATTCACATTTCAAGAATTAAACATGAAAAAATTTACATTTCAAGAATTCAAGATGAAAAATTCAAATTTCAAAAAATAGAACATGAAAAATTCACATTTTAAAAATATAAGACGAAAAATTCACATTTCAAGAATTGAACATGAAAAATTCACATTTTAAGAATTCAAGATGAAAAATTCACATTTCAAAAAATTGAACATGAAAAATTCACATTTCAAAAAATTGAACATAAAAAATTCACGTTTCAAAAAT